CCGATTTAGCCTCTTCAATAACTGTATGTCTGCAGATTTTTTATACATTCTGACATGCACGCGTTCGGGTCTAACTTCGATTTTCCCTGTTTTTTGTATCTTCGGCGCTCTGCAGTCTACCGAGAGAGAATATTATTTTTGCGCGACGAACGCGTCTCGCTCCACTGCTGAGGCAATTGTATATACGAACGACGATGACAATAGTAATAATATTATTAAAAAAAATTGTATTGATCGAAATACATAGACAACTGTGACCATTTAGTAAACATTATTTATAGATACGATTTATAGATATATATATATATATTTTAATAGGTGGTAATAAATGGTCTACGTTATTGTGAAACGCTTTTGTTACGTTTTTACTTTGAAGTTAGAACATAAATTCTGGTCCTGGTTATTATTTGTACAGGGATGTGGAAAAGTATTATTTTCTCTTCATATCTACAACGTACAGTGACAATTAATTTAATTGTCAAACGTATAAGTATATATAACTCCTCGCGTTACACATGACGAATAATTGTTGCGAAGTTACCATAAAGTGTAAACTTTTGTTAAGTTGGTATGTCCTATGCATAAACGATCGATGAAAATCATATTATTATAATAATTAATTAAATATCATGCGTCGCAATAACAATAATACGAAGTATGAACGTACCTACCATTTACCTGTAGGCTGTAATACTACATTACCTATAATAACACGTAGAAAAAATACACACCTACGAGCGCATACAAACTCAAGTTGTACGTTTTTTCCCCATCCATTCGAGTTCATTTCCGTGGCAACCCGACGCGTTTGTGGACATCACAATAATATTATATACGCAACTATTATTACTACACACGTATGAGATGTACCTATACATTATGTGTATTGCACTGTAACGTTATAATATAGTATAACACGTGTTGACGTGTGTGTGTGTGTGTACGCGGTTCGCACGACGAAAAAAGAAAAACCAAACACAATATTATATTATAATGATACTTTTTTTTTTATGTAATATTTGTACGTTTTTTCGTTTTATTATTATTGTTATTATTATATTTTCATAATGGGTGGTGTGTTGAATATTCACGTTTCAGTGACGTCACGCACCTACGTGAATGTGAATATCGCCGCAATTCAGCCGTTTATCGTTGACCGACCGTGAAACAACGCAACCACGCCGTGTCCATCGCAGACCGCAGCTATAGGCCATATTATTATAGTTGTAGTATTCCTAATAGACATTTTTTCACCTGTTTAAAAAAACACAGCGTGGCAGAAAAGCTACGATGGTTTTTAATTTAGACTTTATCGGTCACAACGATCCGGCTACTGTTCAATACCAAATTCCAATCATTTGTCGGACGATTATATTTTACTGTCCTATACTGCATATGTGGACATATTATCTATATTGCCTGTAGTTTACTATACGACAACGACACCTTCCATGCATTATAGGTACCAATATGTTGTATAGGTATGTGTCACACCACACCGTTTCCAAAAAAATTCCTTGTAACAATGCAACTGAAAAATAATATAATGATAATTTTGTATATAGTTTTTGTATAATGAGGGGTGGTTATACCCACGGTGTAGACGATATTGAAATACATATTTATCCGTGATTTGACAGAGGACCGTTTGTTTTCCTTTTAAACTCAAGCTATTAAATAGGTGAAAAGTTATGCCTCCGAGCAGAGGTGAGGGTTGCATATCCATATACCTCAACAGTCAACACAATATTATATGTATAATACGGTTGTCCCCAGTCGTTATTCTTTCCTTCTTCTTTTGAATTCATAAAAGTAAAGTACCTTACCGAGTTCAAACAATATATTATTATAAACACGACGGCGTGCTTCTAAAAGTAAATACAAATTTCATCTAAATCATTATTCTTATTACCGTGATAGTTGTGTAGTTGAAGTAGTGCTTTTACGAGCCCGTTAATGACGAGGGTGGGTTTCCGTAATTTTCAATTGGCGGGAAATCGTTTAAACAATTGGTTTATAATATAGCATACTAACATAGTCACGACAACAAAACGTACATAAATACATAATATACTGGTCCCATATTATAATAATAATAATAATAATAATATACTAAATATTAATATAATATCCTCTAGTGTGCACTCGTGAATAATACTGCTCTACCCTACAACTCCTCTGCCTCGATCGTTTTCAAAACAAAATTACCTATTAGGTTTTTTGACTTTTGTCGTTGTACTACTTACACCTTTGTTTTCATTCTCCGTCGCCAGGTATATAGAACTCTCGACGACTGTTTAATGGTTCTTTTTAACGGCGGAATAACTTATACGCTGCAGATGTTGCGTTTATTTTATATTTTGTGAGACTGTTTTGAGTACACTTATACGCGCGGAGCGAGTCATTATTAAAAATATTGCAATCAGTATGCATAATACACGTCATGTATTCAGGCGCGAGAAAATTTGAATTGGTTTTTACTATATATACAGCTATTATGCAATACCTGCAACGTTCGAAATTGAAATATTATTTTCAGAAACTCTAGAGTCTAGAGCAATGATTTTTTACGTCTTATTGTTCTATTCTACAGAAATAATTAAAGAAATTATGCGGTTAAGTAATTTTTTCCTATTATACTTGATCCTAAAAACTAAAGTAATTTATAAAAAAAAATGCTTGATTTGATTAGTGTTATATACAGTGTAATATTGAAATAAGTAGCCATACTATTTTTTTTTCATATGGTTTTTAGAACGATTATAATAATTTTATATAATATGCATAGTCTACTACCAACTGATAATATAATATCGCATTTATGTATATTTTTTTAGTAACAATTATTATATTATTTATCTCTAATTTGTTTTTTTTTTATACCAATTCGGGTTGACGTGATATCTACATATTTTAATTTATCGTGTTTATACTTTGTGACTCGGGTATACCTATAATGATAATATATACCATTAGCTATGTAATCTTGTAAATTTAAATTAGGTTAACCTTTCACAAATTATAATTAAGAAAATACCAGTGTGACTACCAGATGATTAGGTATATTTTTGTTGAGTTTAAATTATTTTTTAGATTTAATTTTGCACGAAATCCACTGGTTGTATTTATAGTATACAAATTATATATTACTATATTTATATAAACATTTCCAAATATTAAGTGTTAACAAATCATAATAATATGACTTCGTTACGTGAACGCTGCACGATATAAGTCATAATTTATTATTTACACGACAAATTAATAATCAAATTATTTTTAATTTTTGTACTCAAAATAATAAAAGCTTCCAATGTAATAAAATAAGTTTGTGATTATTACCTTTTTTATATGCGTTAGCTAACTAGGTAGATAATTTTATATAATTCGCAAATATTATCTGCTCTGTACAAATACAATTTTAACATTACATATTTTATGATTTGATTTTATAGTTTTGTTTGTTTACTTCATACGCTGTCAAAAATTGTCAACATTGTTTGAATTATTGTGTAACACGAAAATAATATAAAAACAGTTCAATTTCACAGTTACATATTATTATAATAATATATTATGTTAGGTTGAATTAACAAAAATCTACTATTTCATGTAATTTTTAATCACTTTTTCGATTAAATAAAATTGTTATTTTGTTTGTACATTTCAACTACCTACGTACGTATAGCGGTATAGTCGATAAACGATAGTGGATACTGTCGTGATCATTCAATATCGTAAAAATAATTAACAGTGTGTATCTAATATATATATATATTATTATATTATTCAGACTGTTAGTATAAAAAAAAGATTTTTGCCAAAAAAAAAACCATACAGGTACATGGTACATCATCAATTAATGCTGATGGACAAGCAAACATTTCGTGTTTTAACCGTTCGTACACATAATTGTGGTTTTTTTTTACAAATCAAACAATTGTGTACTAAAATCTCGTAAAAGCAAAATTCGAGTGCAAAAAATATTACAAAAATATAACAGTTATTTTTATCTAACATTAGTTTTTGTTTTAACCATCTTATTATTATTCACCGCACCGCTCCACATAATATGTTATAACTTATATTTAAGTTATAATAATAATTATATATATAAGTACATAATATTACCGTAAAATTAAGCGTTTAATAACATAATATTTTTAACACCAAAATAATTGTTCGTAATATATATAATGAAACGATGGAAGTTTTTTTTTATGAACTTTTAATTCGATTTAACGGATAAAGCCCAGGAAAACGACCGTATCGCAAAGGCTTCCGACGCTGTTTGCCCAACGAAGTATTGTTGGCACAGTCCCTAAATATAATATATACACCACCTACGAATCTTCAAAGGGGGCTGGTTGTTCTACTCGATTTGGGTTTGTCCCGTTGGTGAATAATAAATATATATTTTTTACCCATGTAAAAAACCGTCGTCACGTGACTCATAATATATAACGTATACAGCTATAACCGGTTGTCTTTGCGTACTTGTGGCTTATATTTAAAGGTACCGATAAAGTCCACGGTCGCAACGTGACGCTTCAAGGACAACAATATATTTAATATACCTATAATATACCTACAATACTTTTATAAATACAAACATAGTCGGGACAATATCGTTATTATGCAACATATAAGTTTGCGAAATGTTCACGATATCGTGTGTCAACCAGTACTGCAGTCTCCATCGATTGGCTCGAGCGCAATTCCATTTCATTGTGTTCTCTCTCTCTCTTCTTTTATCTCACTCTATATTTATAACTATCCATCTTTCTTTCTTTAGAATTGATTAGTCCACTTTTTAATAGCTAGCCGTTTAATGTATATAAATATATAGTTTAGGTACGCGACCTGTCCATCGATCCTCCGGACACAATCGATTACGAAACTCTAACATAATAATTATATTGTTATGATCCGGCCATGGTCATGGATGAAATGTATACGTATACATGACTCATCTCTTATTGTCGTCTGTTTGGTTTCAGGAACACTTCAACTTTGTTGGAACGGACGATCAACTGGGCCCTGTGCTGTTGAGCGTGAAAACCGAAAGCCTGGCTTCCCAAGAGCAAACGAGACTCTTGCTGCGGCTGCGGACTGGCACCACGCACGAACTGGTGCCTTCATCGTGCGCCACTTCAGCTCCTCACCACATGGCCAGGGTAAGTAGTAATACAATTATATTGTATTATATTATTACAAAATATATGGTCGAAGACGAAACATATATTGGTAATATCGATCATTTCTGTCGTAGTTAGGTAATTTCAATATCAGGATATAATATCACTATAATACACACAAATGCGCATAATTGTTTACAGAAATACTATCCTCTCTCAGCCCGATCCAATAATATTATAGTTTCGTCACTCGAAGACCATTAAATGAAAGATGATAATAAAAAAATACTATAAATCAAACAACATGTTAATCATAATGATAGAAATAATAATTTTTTTTATTTTCAATTTTCAGTGTATTGATATCATATTATAATATATCATTTATATTTTTGTGATGTGTTTCGCAAATAATTTCTGAAAAAATTCACCGGAGAGAAAATTTAGAAATAATAAATTAATGAACGCTGTTGCGTTATTATATTATTTTTTTAATTTAAAATTTTGTTTTATGCACGCGCTAGATTACACACGTGCCAGTAACTCATTAAAAACACATCATTCGTGTAACGACATCATACTACACTTCGTTTAATTTCTAGTTGGACTGTATTTTAATATCATAATGTCATATGAAATTTATAGACAAAGAATTTATGTTTAAGTACTGTTCCATTTCATAATGCTCATAAAGGTTCACTTCGTATAAAACTTTTCAACAAAATGAAATAGTTATTGAAAATTGAATTTTCGTGGAATGGTCAAGGTCTTTCAGGAGCTAGTTTTTCTCTTGAATTGTTTTAAAAGTCTTAACACTGTACTCGCGAATTGGAAAATTGGTTTGAAGTGAAAATTGAAGTATTTTTGGAAACGAAAAAGTTTTTACAATATTAACGAAACAGACAAAATCAATTGTAGCTGGTAAAACTCATAGCAGTAAATTCCAAATATTATATCATGCATCTTAGAATTTCAGATTGATAATATTTTCACCAATACAGAAATGCATACTCTTTCGGTTTAATATAAAACGTATAGAAATGCCGTTGGTAACTTACGTCCCTCTTGCCTTTTTGAAACATACTTGCGTCCCTAATTATTGTAATAATATTATTAATTGTTTTAAAAAACTTTTAATATTTATACTGAATGTCAATACATTGTTGCTTAACTTTAACAAATATAATTAAATATTAATACCTTGTATTAATCATAGTTTGTATTTCCTATTACTATAATTGCATACAAAACACACTAAAATAAAGGAACATAATAACTAAAAAAAAGGTCACTAGTTTATCAAAACAAAAAATATCCTTTGTGGAAATATGATTTTACCGAGGCCCATTATTTAATATTTGCCCCAGTGGCCCCAAAGAAAGTCCAGGGGCAGCATATGCTGCCTCTGCTGCTCCCGTGCGCACGCCTATATGTGCTGTACAGCAGGATACAAGTGGGTCTCTGTATAATGGATTGTAATACATTTGAATGCAATGATATATTATCATTGTATACGAAAAACGATTCTGAGCGGGGATGGTTGGTCAGTCTGGATATTTTATATTGTTATTATTTATTAAGTTGAATTAATATTATTATTTTTTATTCGTTTCTATGGTGATACACAAAGCGTTAGAAATTAAAATCTTATTCTTAGTGGTTTTTCGTAATTTGTCGGTGGTTTTTCCTGTGACATTAAATAACTATTGAGAAAATCAAAAAATGACCTCTCTAAAGTACCATCTTGATCCAGTTTGGTAAAAGATAAGATACTATAATATTATGTTTAAATCGAGGCACTCCTTCTGGTAGAAATTTTGTATACAGGATAAAAAAAAAAATGGTTTGTCGGAAAAAACATACCTATTTTATTTTGGCTCAAATAGACTGTACCAAAAACAAATTAATTTTTTTGGCACATATTGTGGGTGATTCCCGCTAGAACATTACACCCTAGTTGTGTTGTCTCTGTTCAGCAGAACCAATTTTGTGTTGTTAACTTTAATATTAGAATGAATAATAATTTACTCCCAAACTATTATTAAACTTGAATGCATAAAAACATTATCTGTGTTCTCTTGTTGGTTTCATACAATATTTAAATTTTCAAGCGAGTTATGAGTATTTTATTTCGTTAGTAGTATAATTTTAAGTATATTATTATAAATTACTGAATTGAAAAATGTTCTTACATTTTTGATGAAAGCTTAATTTATTGTAATATTTAAGCTAACAACTCAATATTCTACTGAACGTAAATTTCCCATGTTGTATGTTTGCAAGACGGAGGTAATTTATGCTATAATCTTGAGATGTCCTCTTAACAACTAATTGGGTTGTGGAATATGGATAAAGGTGGGTGCATCTACTATAGAATCACTCTTTAATCGCCATCCGTACGATGTTTAGATTTTATAACTACGACCACAGTACCGTACGGTGCACTTGGTGCAGATGCATAATAAAAAATAATAATAATAATAATAATGGTATAAACGAAAAGAAAAGCAATATTCTAGGATAGTTGGCGACCGGCCCGTGAATGGAAACACGATAAATATCATAATAAACATCATTGAATCTCTGCACTGGCCTGGATAAAAATAGTCCAGACTATATCTGTTGACGGCAGGACGGTTTTTAATAATAACAATAATGCGCATTCTCGTTGTAGTGTTTTTATTATTATTACTGAATTTCAGTACCACGTGCTGCTGCAGTGCTCTCGCTGTAACGTTACGAGTCATAATATATATTATATTATTATTTCCCTGCACAGTTAATATTATTTCGATGTAAATAGACGATCGTTATCACTAAATTAAATTTTAAGAGGTTTAGGCCGTTATAAGATTATTCATTGCGCTTAAAATTTCGGTAGACCACTTAATATGCATATTTTTTTTATTGATTCGTTCAAAACATTTTTGTTTCGTTCGTCGAAAACCCGTTTAAGCCACTGTATTCAAACGCCCAGTTAAGGTCATTTTCATTCGCAAATCACAAAAACCATTACTCACTATCGTCTATCAATAAATTATGTACGTTGTAAATATCTTATGATGACCTTCTATATTAGGTATTTAAAATTAATAAATATTATATTATTCCAATTTTATTAAACCTATAGGGTGCAAACAAGGATACAAACGAGGCTAATATTTATTTGAATTAACCGCAGTATTATGTTGTTAATTTTCGATTCTGAGCAGCAAAACTTTTAATTTTGAACTTAATGTGGGGTTTTCGGTAAATAATATTGTTAGTAGCACAAACTGGAATTTGTACGTATCATAACCAGTTATTCGTAACATTTTGTTTTTTGTTGTAAAAATGAATTACTGTAGGTAGAGGCTTGATTTTTTTAAATATTTATATTAAAATTTTCTAGACTAGATACATAATTTTCAATAGTATTATAAAAATATTTAGATTAATCTTAAGAAATTTATACCATGAACTTATTCACACTGTGCTATAGAAAAATATATGGTACTAGCTTAGTAGTTGACTATAATACTTGTAAGTTTGACTATTACCTATAGTAGTATATATTAATAATAAATGCGAAGTTTTACTATGATGAATTCATTGTAACGTATTATGTATATAAAAATAAATTATTAACAGCAATTTAAATCTATAGTGAAATATCCTTAGAAAAATACGCTGATAGACCGCCTCCGCTCGTTTTTTGTACCCAATGATTTATCATTGAATTCAAATTGATCACATCCATTGCAGTGACTTACTCAATGATTAAATTCACTCTACTCCTATTAAAGAAAAGTGATATTTTTTTTAAGAGTTACCTACAAGATTAGAATGCTTACATTGTATAGAACTTGGTACTATTTAAATTGTATGCTCATTTTTTATCTCTCCGTAGTTATAGACGAGAAATGATTTTAAAGGTTTTTCATTTTTATATTACCTTATTTCAAATATAATAATATATCAATTAATTTCAAAAATACATCGTTGCGTATATATATAAGTTGTATTTAGTTACGATCTATATCTACATCTATATAAATGTATAAATAGTCGATAAATTATGTTAACAATGACTGTGAAATTAATTTTCATATAAACTATGCTTTTTATGTTATTTAGCTGCTAAACGATCAGCTATCAGTTACCAATATGTCACCCGTTTTGAGTTGTAAAACGTCTCAACTAATTGCCGCCTATGACGAACACGTACTAGTGTCGCACTTCAAATTTGGTGTATTATATCAAAAGTATGGCCAAACTAGTGAGGAAGAATTATTTTCCAACCAACATACTTCACCCGCGTTTGATCAGTTCCTCCAATTACTCGGTCAGCGGATACAACTGAAAGACCATAAAGGGTAAGCATACACGACGCTTTACTAGCAACATCGACATGCAGGTAGGTAATTAATAATAATTATTTGTTTACCCGTGATTCAGGTACCGAGGAGGCCTAGACACGCAGTTTGGTCAAACCGGTGACGAAGCCGTTTATCAAGTGTTCAAAGACAGGGAAATCATATTCCATGTATCTTCTTTGCTTCCGTACACCGATAACGATCCTCAGCAATTGCAAAGGAAAAGACATATCGGTAAGTGTATATAAAGACGCGTGTTAAGTTTTAATAAATGCCAAAACATAATGAATCAAATTATTGATGGTTATATAATTTGAATATTGGATTATTAATTTCAATAATAAATACATTTTTTTCTAGGTAACGATATCGTAGCAATAGTTTTTCAAGAATCCAACACCCCGTTCACCCCTGACATGATAGCGTCACATTTCCTACACGCCTACATCATCGTCCAAGTGATCGAGCCCAACACTCCCAACGTTAGGTATGTGGAATTTTAATGTCTCAATAATTAAATTAGTATGTACATTATTTAACGACCGGTTATGACTTATTTTTATTATTATTGTATAGGTATAAGGTCAGCGTGACCGCCCGGGACGACGTGCCCTTCTTCGGACCGACGTTACCCAACCCGGCCGTGTTCAGACACGGTCCAGATTTCAAACAGTTCCTTCTCACCAAGCTTGTAAACGCGGAAAATGCCTGTTACAAGGCCCACAAATTTGCCAAGTTGGAGGTGAGTCTTGCGACGTGTTGCAGCATGATTGATGTATACAATATGTCGTCGATCGTGTGTCGGGTTATAATTATAAATATTTTTTTTTTTACTCATTTGTCTCGTGTTTGTTTCCAGCTGAGAACCCGAACGTCTTTGTTGCACTCGTTGTGCGAGGAGCTGAAAGACAAGACTAAAGACTTCCTTGGGCACAACGAAGGCGGCAGCAGCGGCACCAACGCCGGAGCGGCCGGCACGAGCGGCGGCCTGGGCGCCGAGCTGACCAAATCGTCGGCGGCCTCGTCGTCGTCGTCGTCGTCGGAATGCGGCAACGGTACCATCTCGGGGGCTGGCAGCAGGTTCATAGACACTGTACGCAAAGCGCTCATAGCTCGGGTCAAGACGCAAACACTGTCCAACGCAGAGGCCAACAACAACGTTTCGGGAGGCCTATCCAAGAAGACTAGCAGCTGTTCGGCCGACGGGTCCATACCGAGCGTGAGTTGAACCACACCTGCCCATTGTTTTTATTATTTTTGCGTGTATAATTATTATTATTATCATCGTGACTAACGAAGAAATATGTACGTGGGTGTTTTTTTTCATGTTTCGTTCGTGCGTGCAGTTTGGCAGATCGTTGTCGAAAAGCAGCAAAAAGAGTTCGCCCTCGTCACCAATATCCAGTCCGGACATCCATCCAGTGCACAGGACTTCCAGGTACGTCCACCATATACAATAATATAGTGCACCGTAAATTCGGATATAATCTCAATCGACGCTGTGGGTCTTAATCTCTGTGATTTCTTGTGCTTTCGCAGTGGAGCTAGCCGCGTGGCCATGTCTGAAAGCGATTCGTCGTCGTTGAACAGCGTTGAGCTTGACGGCCTGGGCATGGCTGGGGCCGTGGACAGCGACACCGGTTTGGAGAGCATGTCGTCGGCTGAGACGCCCAGTGGCAAGCCTTGCAGCATGTGCTGTTGTGACGCGCCAAACAACGACTCCCGGGTGGAAGGTCTCCGGCAAGACGTGACTAGGTTAAAATGTGACAAACTAGAGCTGTTGAGACAGAACGTGGTAAGTGTCTTCTTTCCACACATCTATTTATCTCACTCTCTCTCTCTCTCTTTTCCTCTGCCTCCCACGACTCACATTCTCACTTCACGATCATTATCACCATCGTCCGTTCATCTATCTATATTTCAATCAGCTCATATTTTTATCTTTTTTACGTTATATTTGCCATTTTCCAGAGTTGTCAACACGAAATAAAGAGATTGCGAGAGAAAGAACTGGTGCTGCAGTCGGAACTCACGTCCGCATCCAAGGAGATTCTTAGGTTGAGGGAACTGTTGAAAAACTACACCACTAACCCCAACTCGTCGACTGTTTGAACATAGGTAAGTGGTCATCGTGTTTGTCTCTAATCCATAATTATGTACTTACTATGCCAAACTAGATTGCCGTAAATGTTCATTAAAAATTATCTAATCATTATGTATTACATTTATGCCAAATTTTTAATATTTGTTAATTTATGTTGTGACTATTCGACTATTTGACAAATTCAAATTATCATTATTTTTACAATATATTGTACAATATACAGGCGCATTATTCATTTTGGCTGCCTATTTGCAATCTAGTTGTGTTTTATGTGACAGAGAACAGACGTTGCCATTGATTTTCATATGTTTGATTTGAAATTTTCTAAACAATTGTGCGTTTTCAGGGTACCTACTGATTTTGTGACGAAGATAAAGCTGACACTTAACGTTTTCTCGCACTGTTGCAAAATCATTCACGTCTGTGACGGTTATTTCTTCTGGGACAACCATCTATGGTCAACGGCGAATAACAATATTTCGTCTTACAGGATGGAAATAATATAGCGTAACGCGATACCAAAGTATTACATATTATTATATAATTATTATTTTAAAAAACGATTTGAATTTATCGTTATTAATCTATGTTGGATTGTATTTACCTACTAAAATTAGCTTTAATAATGTAAATCCATTATTATATTTATTTTTAATTGTGCTTCTAATCATTAAGAGAAAACAATAATATTGTGTAAAGCATATACCAAAGTATTAATATTTGACGTTTTAATAATAATTATTTGACACTAAATTCCGCTCGACAACGGTAATTTATAAGTGTCAAAATAGCATCGTGTATCATGACGTAATCACACAATTTTATGTTAATTAATTAATTTAATTGGTTGATAATTTATCGACTGTAAAATTTATCCTATACGTCACGAAAATTGTAAATACAATTATTACATAGTTTTAAGTCTAAGGGTTTTTTTTAAGTGTGTATTAGTAAAAAAACTTAACAAAATATTACCATTTACATGTCGGTGCAAACAAATTTGAGCATATATTATAGTATAATTTTATATTATACATTTATTTATTCCATTTTTATTTTCGAATCATATAGAAATTACCACCGTAATAATACCTAACCAATGTATGAATTATACATTTTACTATTAATATATATAATTTTTTTTAAGTATTTTTTTTAAATTATTCACTTGTTTGATATGTATATGGTTATTTCTATGAAGTAAATGTCCTATGTGTACTCATTATCTCATTATTTGAATAAAACCGCATAAGCGTGCATGTATTTATATAGTGATAAGGAACTAATATTATATCAATGATATAATTCTTGTGTCTATTAAACTTTTTTGTAAAGTCTATTGTGTTTTTGTCAAAAATTTATCGGGAAGAGGAAAAATAAGAATAAAAAGCTTAGTTAATATTATATTGTTGATTATAATAGACTATAATAGTATTATTATGGTTATTTTAACAGTATTAATTTATAAGTATAACGATAGTCTAATTTAAAAAAATACGCACCTAACATTTTAATATTATAATACTCGTGTATACTTACTTACATATAAAATGTGTTTTTGTTTCGCACAAATGTTTGTTCTTCTTAAAAAATTTTAATTGCATGAAATGTATGTCAATTTATATTATTATTTTTGATTGTATAATTTTTAAATAATTTATAAATATCTAAAATTGTATGTAAATGTCCATACAAATACTCTTAAGTTCAAGTAGGTACACACACAAACACAGAAAACTTGTGTCCGTTCTGTTTCAAAATCAGGCGCACTAATTAATTTTTATTTTAGCCTATATACATATATATATTATATATGAGTGTATTATGTTTTGTTATTATTATTATTATTATTATTATTATTAATGCAATAAATGTTAATTTTTACGCAAGACTTATTGATTTTACAACTGATCCTAAAATTACATTGTATATATTAGACTTCCTTAGTTCTTTATGCATATTGTATCATACCTGGTATAAAAGGATACAAAGAATTTAACATCAAAACAATCTTTTTAGGTGTGTAGAATGTAGATTTATGTTGCAGTGCAATAAAAAGGAATTTTTGTATTTATGAAAACATCAGTACATGTCCACTTTAAATTGACCATGAGCAAGCATTTTAGACTAAGCAACCAAATGGATTTACATAAATTTTATTTTTATATTACTTATATATAATAATTAATAAGTTATAACTATTAATATACATCTTGTTTATATTGTACAAATTGTTTGAAACAATGCATTTGGGAATTCAATGTTCCTCCTGAATATTTATTCTAAAAACCCCTGTAGTTTAAAGTAATTTAAAACTGTATACCCTAAATACCATATTAATAACTGCATTTATGCCCTAAAAATTTACTTAACATGTATTAAAAATGTTATTCTGATTTTAAATAATTATCTTTATTTTTATAGTAAATTAAACAATTCCTCATTTATTTATTGAAAATTATTTGTCTTTACTGTGTTAATCTGAAATGAATTATTAAATATATATTTTTTTTAATGTCCATAGACATTGAAGAATATATTATAATCATATGAATATAAAATTAAATGAGTACTTATGATTGATTATCGACATAATATTGCATTCTATAGTTTTTTTGGAACAGAAAATAGTTGTTATGTTATTATTATTTTTTTTTAATTAGATTCAAATGATTATTATTTAAAAATTATTTCACAGACAAATAGTTGCTTATTTTCAATATGCACTTGTATCTGACAGTTATCGTAACACCATATAAGCAAAGAATGAGACAATCTGAATGGACACTGATTATAAAATATACGAGAACATAGGATAATAACTAAATCAATGATATAAGTTATCAGAATTTTTAAAATATAATATTTTTTATAACTGGGTACCTAGGTACTCATAATTCATAGCCCACTTAAAAATTTAAATATTGTAAAAAACAATGTACAAACAAAGATAATTAATTACTCTTACTTTAAAATTTGATAGTAGGTAATCCAATTCACTCTAATATTGATGTAAACACCACAACATTGATTCTTCTGATCACAAATTTTGAATGTTTGTACCTGTATCTACGACGTAGATTCTACGTGTATATGATAGAGATAACACATGCTTCAATATATGACGTTTTCAATTGTTTTGTGAGTACTGTATTGCTTATTTTATAAAAATATAGCTTTTATTTATATTTATATTCCTGTTTCATATATTAAACCCAAATGATAATTAATAATTATTTGTTATTAAGCCTTGTATGTTCATTTATTAATTATTCATTAGTTATTACTTATTAATATTGATACTTAAATTTTGTTTTCATGTTCTTTGGATGATTATACAATAGTATTATAATATTGCTCAAAAGACTATATTTCTCTTCATGTTTTCAAGAAACTATTTTATAAATTTAAAATTAAATTAAATCATTTGATTGGATAAAAAAACAATTTATCATTTGAATACAGAATTAAAATGTGTTCGAATAATAATGAATAGGTCGGTAGGTACACATATATTAGAAACTAATTAAAATATAAATATGTAATCTAAGCCCTAAGTATATACTAATGGTATTTTTTAGGACTACCTATATTTCTGTTTTTGTTAATAATGCAAACAAAAAACAACATTGCTTTGGTCAAGAAAAAGTTTAAAATTTAGTACTTATATAGTACTTTTAGTGTGGTAATATTATTACGATTGATTTTAGACTCTGTTCACTATTTACTTGTACGTAATAGATAGATACCTATTATAAAAATTAAAAACTGAAAACTTATGGAACCTGTAACGTCATGTTTATAATACCATATAAAACTACCGAACTATTATTATTTATTATAATTGTAATATTATGTATTCCTTTCTAACAAATAGACAATTCTCAGTTAAAATAAATGAAATTTCTCTGACCTCCGGTCCATCTCTGATGGTGAACCTCAAGGGTCCAAACTGGGATCTATATTGTTCAATATCTTCATATCTGATATACAGCAGTCACCACGCACAAACATCGCCCTATTCGCAGATGACAACTATTTACAGTGAATCCTGCAACGTTGAAGCGGTAACAAACAACTTACAAGAGTGTTATTTATCCATAGAGGTTGATAGCCTATAAAGGCTAGGAATGTCTTATTAAATAAAAAAAAAAATAAAAAAAATAGTAATTGTAGATTGGTATAATGGTATCATAATTTTTGTTAAATGTAGGTAGGTACTCTTTATTTGAACGCAAGGAAACTTAAGTAACATTGTTTTTCTCTATCTAAGTATTTAAGCTAAATATTTAGTTGTTATCCAACCGTAGTTTATTATTTATTCAATTGAACGGACTGGTTCATTTGTATCATATTTGTTCAACGAACATTAAACACTGTACTGTCCTGGAAACAAGAACGGTCAACTCAACGGCTGCATACTAGTTACGAATTGTTCAGGCCAATATTATAATATAACGATTGCGGATATGGGTTTCGTTATCAAAATACAAATTTCGGATATCAAGTTAGGTCAACGGTCAACCTTGTTGACAGCAAGTGGCTGACACAAATATTTCCCATCGACACTTTTTCAGGACTTTGGACAATGTACCGTAAAAATGGACAGTTGGGGTTAGAAATATTGTGTCTTGCAAAAGAGAAATCTAAATTATTCTTAAGGGGATTCGATACCGTGATTTTCTGTTTTTGTCTAACACACGCGCGACATATAGTATATTTTAGATGTGTTTTTTGCCAAACATACCAATTGATCTAATGAAGTGATAAGAATTCTGAAAACAGATTTGAATTTGTCGTCAAGTCTACTTGAAATCGACTTTCCCACATTTTTTTAAATTATCCACCAAATTTTTTAAAATGTCATATTCAAAAAGTGTATTTAAAAATTCTGTTATTTCAATTTTTGGAGAAGTTTAAATCAAAAAATCAAAAATGTGGGAAAGTCGATTTCAAGTAGACTTGATGACAAATTCAAATCTGTTTTCAGAAATCTTATCGCTTCAAT